AAATAATAGGCAACCTTATATTCCCTCAATAAAGAAACACTTGTCCAAATGTTAGACCTTCCCTCTTTTTCTTTCTTACATTGATATATTCAAACCTAAGGAATTAATCATTTTGAAGATTTAATCATATCCTACCTTATTGATAATAAAAATTTACTTCCATACTACTAGAATGACCTATGCTAAAGAAGTTTCCTCCAAATATTTGTTTTAACTCTTGTTAAGAGGTTTATTAAATTCATTTAGAGTAATTTGAGGGGGAAAAACACTATTACTGTACACACTGTCAAAACCCGACTTAGAATTAAAGACTACAATTTTCTACATTCTACTTCTTTGTTGCACAAAAGATACTAGAAATGAGATCTTCAAAATCCTCTAGTTAAAAGTTTCATATTAAGTTTCCACAAAAAGCAGATTTGTAGTTTCTACTGTCTAGGCAGAAAATAAATATTCTACATTTGAGTTCAAATTATTTTCATAGAGTATTGCTTATTCTAAAAGAAAAAAAAATGAGGGAACTCATTATACAACTTTCTTTAAACACACACTCCCTGAATAAATGGCAACAGTAGTTAAAAATCTCACTGGATGTTCAACATTTCAACATCATAGCTCTCCAGATGTTGCCCTCATGGTAAAGTATTGATTTCTTTTATTTACTTAAATCTCTGGTTGGAGGCAGTATGCTTCCCCTTATCCCAGTCTGTTACATCACCTGCACTTCTAAATTCACTGTCTCCTTCCTCTGATGAAACCAAGAAGTCAAACTGCTTCAGAGCTTCTTTTGTAGCTCAGTCTTCACTGCTATCAGGCAATGCTTTTTTTCTAAAAATCTAATGAAAAAACATGCTAAATTAAAATATGAAAATATTTATGAATTTTTATATTGAATTTAAATATAGGAGACCATATCCTTTGGTCACTGAATAAGAAATGTTATTCATTTTTTTTCTTCAGAAAGTATGTCTTTGGTGTATTAAACTGTACTACCTAACCCAGTGAAAAACACACATATCATTTTTAAAGGTATACATCATGTATCTTAAGCCAATAATTTAAACTTTGTTCAATGGTATGATGGCTTGTTTTAAATAAACAGAAACCTACTGACGTCACTGGCATTTTAGAAACACATTTAAATTGCAGATAGTTGGAAGGCTGAGGTAGGAGGATGACAAGTTTGAGGCCAGCCTCAGCAACTTAGCAAGACCCTTTCTCAAAACAAACAAACAAACAAAAAAATAGTATGGTCTGGGGATTTAGATCAGTGATAAAGTGCCCCTGGGTTCAGTACCAACAAAACAAAACAAAACTAAGATTCAACTGCAAATATGACAGGGATTAGGTTTCACTTTTATATATTTAGAAGTATCTATGGAATTACAAATTCAGTTAGAGGGTTAAAACTTGAGACTAATGCATCCAGACATGATTTCTGAGACCAGCATGTCTATACTCTTTATGAATTATCTCCTTTTTGATTACATCAACCAACATGAGTCCTAAGAAACTAGGATAATGGATCTGCAGCTTCTTTCCATAAAATATCACAATATCTCAATTTTCCAGACTTTAGCTTTTTTGTTTCATGCAAAACAGAAATAGCATGATCTAATGAAACTTCACCCCTGGAATCTTTTGAGTGGTATAAAATTGTAAAGTTTCAGTAGACAGATCAATAGGACAGCCTAGTGAGTCCAGAAATAGACCTTAAGAATTAGCAAACACACACCTGACTTGTATGGCCCTGTTCT